CTTTCAGTTGCAGATACATCGTTCCTGTTCTTATTACCATCCACGTGTGCTGTTTGTTGATATATCTGTACCACCAAGTAATTTATTTTATTTATAATATATGCACTATTAATCGTCAATCATGTTTTGATAAGCCGATATGCAGATAATCATCATTCTTCAACGAAGTACTGTATTCATGTAAGTATATTCGACTTATAATATTGAAGTTAACATGAGTATATAATTTTCTATTTTTATTTACAGGACGTTTCTTTGACAAATCTCACAACAACTAATGGAGGTAAGTAGCATTTTTACATTACTTTGTTTTAATAATAAGTCTAACCATATGAACTCAAATCTATATACATTTTCATAACTGTTTTACTCGCTTTCTTATTTCTATCTCTATTGAATCCTCGAAATAACTGCTTCCTAGTTATTTTAAGTTTTTCATTATTATTAATCTCTTTTGGATCGTCTTGATTCCAGAAAGGTAAGCTGTTAATATACTTTCTTATGTTACTATGAGTTCTATTTGAGAATAACTGTTCATATTTTTCTTCCTTAACCTTTAATATCTTATTTTGTTTCAGTACTGAATCAGATTTATACTCTTGAATTTTCTTATCTATGGTGCCTTTCTCTAAACAAGTATGCATTGCAATAATATTTGTGTTTACATTAACTTTATTATTTACAGCCCCTGACACTATCCAACCCAAAGATGTCGACTGCGCGACTGGAATACCTGTAGGACCCCTCATCATTTCATTTCGTATTATCCTGCCATACACTTCGACTCCTAATAATATATTTATTTTATTAGGTGTATTAAAGTTTGGATCAGCTAGTTTGATCTTTTTTAATTCCTCCCATTCTAGAGACACTGTTTTTGTTGGTAATAGGGTTGTTATTGACTTTAAAACATAAGCAATTACTTGAATAACAACATTTTTATGAAACAAAGAGTGCATTTTTATTTTTACCATTGATTTCAAACGTAATTGAGAATCTCCACTGATTCCTGATACTATACCCTTTATTGGGATTTTCCGTAAACCCAATAATTGAACCGCGGCCTCCGTGATAAAGGAGGCTTGAGAGCCTTGGTCAATAAGCGCCCTTACAGTTTTTATACCGTGATTTATTTCAATGCCCACTAAAGCAGTCGGTAATAAAACCTGCCCACAGGCGCCATCTGTTGAGAAACATGAAACAACAGCTGGTGACTCTCCAGCTGAGGCAGCGGACGTTTTCGTTACCATGGAATTCTCAACAGTTGACCTGATTGTTCCTTCCCTGACTCTCCCAATTTCATTGATACCTGTGTTACTCGTTCCTTTACCCTTAGGATGCAATAAAGAATGATGGCGACGCTTGCATATGCGACACGTTACCTTTACTTTACAAAATTTGGCTGAATGATTTACTCCCAAGCAATTGAAGCACAATTTTTTAGTTTGTGCATATTCACGACGACTAACTGATGTTTCCTTTGCGAATTTCTTACAAAATATAATGCGATGATTTTCGGTACAAAACAAACAACCAATGTTTGTTATCGCATGAAATGTTTTTGTTCTCGAAATGTTACTTTGAGGTTTAGGTACATTCTCATTTTCAATAAATTCTAAAGCTCTATAACGATTACATATAAACTCTCTAAACTGATCAAAGGTGGGTAAGTTATCTGTCACATTGCTATTCGAAATAGAGAATTCCCATTGCCGTTTCGTTTCGTTGTCTAATTTTAACGTAATCAAATATATAATAATTAAATCCCAAGTCTGTACTGGTACATCTAAATTCCCTAACGCTTCTAAACATTCTGTAGTAGTATCCAACAAACCTTTTAATGCATTTGCGGATTCCACCTGGATACTTCTCTGACTTAATAACCTTTTAATTATGCAATGCGATAGATATCTTTTATTATTATATCTATGTTCAAGTTGATTCCAACACCTATCATAATTTAATTCGGACACAGGTATGTGTCTAACAAGCTGTTCTGCTTCTCCTTCTAAACAACTTTTCAAATAATGCAATTTTTGAACTTTATCTAGAGAATTGTTATTATGTATTAGTGACAAAAATAAATCTTTAAAGCTAGAAAACTGTAAATAGTCCCCTGAGAATTTTGGAATAGTAATTTTGGGTAAATTAAATTGTACATTCTTATTTGAACTAATATCTGTAGTATCACACTTTTTACTTTGCACTAATTTCGACAAAACACATTTTAACTCTGACTCATATTCAATATACAATTCTTCCGTAATATCATAATAATTATTTTTAAAATATGAACTTTCTTTGTACTGACAATTGTTTACAATATCTTTATGATTACATAAAAATTCTAACCAAAGACTTTCTAAAATATCTATTCTTATTTCAATATATGACTCTGTTACACACTCTTCAGAAGCCTTTTTATAACTTTTAAATGAATTTCTAATACGTCTAAGCACATCTTCCTGTAGATTTAATTGACTTTCCATTTTAACAAATAACAAAATAAACTTTATAAAAACAAATATAGCAATAACACAGAACAACAATAGTATTTTTAAAGATGAATTTAATCTAATATTTTTGGTTTCTATTAAAATCGCAAGTTCCGTAGTATAATTATTCACTAATTTTTACAAGTGTTTACTTACTATTAAACACTTAGAAAATTTTAAGTTCCTATATTAAAATCACGAAAAAATTACAAGTGTTTTAAAATGTTTACCAACCTAGGTAAAATCGGGCATAGGTTCCCCGTCTCAACAGAGTTTGTAAAATTATTCTAAGTCTAATTTTAAAGTTACAATTATAATATTAAAGTTCCGGTCTTCTTTGAAATAAGGTTCACTTTAGCTTGACAAATATATTTAAAAGTACTCACAATTTTTCCACTTCACACTTTACCACTCAGCCGAAATTTCCTCTCCTCCTTCACCTCCGCCGCACCCTGGTTGTACCGCTGCTGTCTCTTTCTGCCTTGAAGACACTCCTCCTCACTCGGCTGTTACTTCAGGTCCTTCTGACTGGTCCACCATAGGCACCAATCACCTGATGAGGGGCGCCCCGAGCAGCGAACCACTGCCCCTAGGTGCGTACTGGTTTACTTGAACCAGTGTTTTTTAATACCGGGCTAGTAACTAGCGCCAGTCATAAATCCGGCTCGAAGGACCAAATGTTAAAACCACAAGGTCCTAAGGGTACTATAAACCAAAACACTACACTCGTGTATATAAGGTTTATTGGTCGGTTTCAAATACAGGTACAAAAAATGGTATAAAGTAAAATACATATGGACTTTCTACAAAACGAAACGTTAGCGAGTTTCAATTTTGTTACAGCGCCATCTATTGGCGCTGCATGCAAACAATACTATTTTATGGATTATAATACTTTAACAATAGTATAGGGGCCAAACGAGTTTGCGGCTCCTCTGATGGTAAGTGATTAGAGGGCGTCCATAAATTACGTGGTTTTTTTTTTAATTTTCTGTGATTTGACTCGACCCCCTCCCCCTCTTAAACATCTCACGTAATTTATAGACGCCCCCTTACCGCCGTCCATGACCACCCCGCAACAATAGGGCAATAGTTGCCGGTCTTTAAATATATGTATATGTTATTTACTACTTTAATTTTATTTATTTACTACTTTTTTATTTAGAACAACAAGAACCATAGACTATCATTTATTTCTGGTCAGAAATAAAAAATAATAGCTACTCGCACCGGCTTCGCCTCTTGAATCACTCTATCTAAAACGCTTCAAAATGCGTAGTTTTAAAGATTTAAGCATACATAGCGACAGACAGACGGCGACAGCTACTTTGTTTTATACTATGTAATGATAATGATTTACTTTTTCGCGACTAATCAGAGAACAAGTTTTAATGAAACTTCATACGCACATAGACTATTAATTATTTCTGGTCAATAGAAATTGCGGGTAACAGCTAGTCGAGTAAAAAGATGTGATCCATCGCTAAGATGACTTCTATGAAGAAGTCGGTCTGTCTATGGTCAGATATAACGTAATTAATATGCTTGGTAAAATAAAGAGAAGTAAAAAATAATTAAAAAGTTGTAATATGTCGTTAAAGGTGATAATATACTTATTTACATATCGTTTACATAATTATTCTTATCGTATAGACCAGAGGTTCCCAAACTTTTTCGTGCCATATTTTTCGGTTTTGGGTAGACCCCCCATTCTTACCTGGTATTGATTTTTTGTAAATTTCTAACTGTAGTAAAGTTTAGTGTTAAAAACAACAAGATGACCGCTATCGTAGACCCCTTGCAGTTTGTCATAGACCCCTGGGGGTCGATATAGACCACTTTGGGAATCACTGGTCTAGACGATTCGAAAATAGGGTTACCAACTGTAGTAATATTAAATAGATAAATAGGTACCTCGTATTTTTTATTAGAAAATATTTTTAAGCACCTGACCACCTGGTGCTGGTGAAATATAGTATTATGTTTTTTTTATTGAATTCATGTATTCTATATTTATGACTAGCTGTACACGCAATTTCGTCCGCGTGGAATTTTTTCATTTATTTTTCTAAAATAAAAGATTTTTCTAATATAAAAGTAGCCTAAGTTACTCCTTATTACATCAGCTACATACCAATAAAAGTCCCGTCAAAATCGGTCCAGCCATTGTAGAGATTGGCCGGAACAAGTAGACAGATAGATAAAAATTGTAAAAAATGTTATTTTGGTGTATGCACCGTATTTATATTCATATTAGTATGTAGTAAAGAACGATTATTTCAATATTATAAACAGACACTTCAATTTTATTTATATGTATAGAACAGTGCAGTGAGTAACTCGCCAGAAAAAATGTCTTCTGACAGACAAATAGACAAAAATTGTAAAAATGTTATTTTGGTGTATGTACCGTATGTACATTCATATGCATCTACATGCATATAATACATGTAATATCGAAATAACAGTTTTTTACTACATGTATAGATTAAAAAAAAAAGTATTAACATTCTGGTCTCCTTATCTATTTAAACTATAAGTTTGCGAAATTTCATACTCCACCGTCCGAGCAACTTTACTAAAAAGGGGTACTAAATAACTTATATGGCTTGGGTTATCCTTGAAGCAGGAACTTTGATATATCCTCTGCCATGCAGCGAGGGTTCTCCAGGTGGACATCATGACCTCCGTCCACGATTTTGAACTTAAAATTGTTTTTGGGCCACACCTTCTCGTCCATAATGAAGGGCACTTTGCTATATAGGCCATTTTTGATTGATTCTTTTGCGAGAACAGAAAAAGTCGGTGTAGATAGTGTGGTGTACATTAATTTAACGTTATCAGCTGAAAATGGCGGCGCGGTTATAGTTTTGTTTCTTTGGTCATATGTTAATCTGAAAAGAAAAAAAAATTATATGACAGCAAGGTCTACCTCCTACTACCTCTACCTCTGTTACCTCTATAGATAATCTTCCTCTCCTCCGAAACGGCTTGATCGATTTATATGAAACTAGCTACTCGACCCGTCGCAGTTCGGGTGTACATGTATTATATATATATATATATATATAAATTCCTTCCTCTTGTATTAAAAAAAACCGCTTCAAAATCCGTTGCGTAGTTTTTAAAGATTTAAGCATACATAAGGACGGACCGACAGCGACAGCGACTTTTTTTATATGCATATTTGTGATCTCACAAATGCTAGGTAGCGGAATTGGACAAAACAACATTAAGTAGTGACACGACATGTCAAGTGTTGCGTTTACAACAACATCGACAGTTAACAATGACTCTGACTACCCCATCAAAGATAAGTCGTGAAGTTATCATACTATTACCGATACTACAGTGAAAGTACCAGGAGAACATGACCTCGCAAGTAGGCTACAGCCTACCGCCGTCTATTGGAGTAATGCATTTATTTAATTCACATATACCGAGCGCAATGTGCACATGTCAAGTGTTGCGTTCACAACTACGACAGTTGCTAATGACTCTGACTACCCCATCAAAGATAACAGTCGTGAAGTTATTACTATTACTGATCAGTGAAAGTACCAGGAGAACATGACTCGCAAGTAGGCTAGAGACTACCGCCATCTATTGGAGTGATTGATGCATTTATTTGATTCAGATATATTGAGTAATTTATTCAAATATACAGTGAACGTACCAGGAGAACATGACTCGCAAGTAGGCTTGAGACTAGCGCCATCTAGTGGTGCATTTTTTTTTATTGAAATATATACAGAGCGAAATGTGTACACGTAAGTTGTAAGTAAGTTGCGTTCAACACAATATCGACAGTTGGCGATGACTCTATCCGCTCTAATAACAGGTGTAAAGGTATATTATTTAATTATACACAATACTTTTGTTGGGGTTCACATCAATATTGCATAAAACTCCAATAATTTAAAAAGATATTAAAAGAAGGTAGTAGTACTGATGAAGTACCCAATGTAAAGATTATTACAAATATTGTAAATAGCGCCATCTAGTATTAATAGATCGACCTACTACACTCACTTGGGTCTATAAATACGGAGGACGGTAGTTGAATAATTCTTGGATCGATCCCCCGTCCAATTCAAACGGGAATCGATATTACGACTGCCTGAGCCGAGGTTCGAACCCCTAGTGGTGCCCTCAGACTAAAGTCGTATCCGTCAGGCAGGAGTTGACCTTCAGCCGCTCCAAAGTCCTTCCGCGGGCTTGTAGTGCCATCTGCACTCGCCCCCTATCGTTCGGTGAAGCTGTAAAGGCCAGCTGCGGCCAACAGCATTAGAGTAGTCCGAAAAAAATTTTTGAATAATTCTCTTTCTTTGAATAAGTCACGGCATTCAGTCGACAAGCACAGAACGTGCCGGTTGTATTTCGGATACTGAATACAACCGGTACGTTCTGTTGCTGAATTGTATTAGCAATGGGTTTATCCCGGTCTTAGTTGGGCCCGGGGGGAAGCTGCAAGAAGTGAAGGTGAGTGTTAATGCATTCTAAAAGAGCCTTTTAAACCTACACCCGTGTCACAAGTCACGGGCGCTACTTGGGGTTTCCCTTGCGGTAGCCGACTGCAAAGCCTCAGTCGTCCTCATAATTAATACTTTAGTTGTTATTTCAAGATTACGTTACCTGTATAGACCTTCACCCGCGGGTACCAGAGATCTTTCTAGAATTTCCTCAGCTGCTTCCTTTGACAGTCCTCTAGCCTTCATTGTAAGTTGAAGAACCTATAAAAAAATAAAAAAAACTTGACTTTAATTTACCGTAGCCTACTTTCTACAAACTCGACTAAGTATTGTTAGCTTCAATACATAGAGAACAGTCAGTTGACTAATTTGTTACTTACATTTCAAATTTAAAACTATAGTGAGTCACGTGATGGAATAGAGATAAAGAGGCCGGGAACAAGGAGGGAGCGGGCTGCTCTCTCTCTCTGTTTGAGGCGACCGAGACGACCAGACGTGAATGTACAGCGACGCAATTTATGTGGAGTGTAATTTGAAAAAGGAATAAAATAAAAGTACTGCTGCATCGACGTATCATTTCTGAAACTTCCCAATAGTTTATTTTTCGGACTACTCTAATGCTGTTGGCCGCCTTTACAGTTTCACCGGACGTTAGGGGGCCGAGTGCAGATGGCACTCCAAACCAAAGGAAGAACTTATGGAGCGGCTGAAGGTCAACTCCTGCCTGAAGTGAAGTATACGACTTTAGTCTGACGGCACCACTAGGGGTTCGAACCGCGGCTTCAAACCAGGCCGTCGTAATTTCGATCCCCGTTTGTATTGGACGGTGGATCGATCGGTGGAGCGCACGGGCGCGCGCAGGCGCCCGGTTGATTACGCGATATGCTGTGTTGGAGGTCGGCGTCTTCGCCGGCGAGGACGGTGTCTTGTGTGTGTGTAAAGTGTGGTCGGGGTGGAACGGTAGGAGAGGTTACCTGCCGTTATGGAGTCGTCGGGGTCAATGAGAACGTGCTTCGGGCGACGTTGTCGCGTAACTTCCCAATAGTATGTACCTCAATCTCAGCTATTTCAGCCGCCAAGCAGCTTGTTTTGTAAGCTGTTTTTGACGGCCTCAGTGGTCTAGCGGTTTAGCACACCGTCTTACTTCCGTTGGTCGCGGATTCGATTCTTACACGGCACAAACATTCGTATTCATGAGTACGATTGTTTGTATCGGTCTGGGTGTTTTATATGTATAATATGTATGTATTTACGAAAAAAAATGTCTATCTATTTGTATCAGTTATCTAGTACCCATAACACGAGCTTTAGCTATCTTAACTTGGTTCTAGATAGCGCTGTGTGAATTGTCCTGAGATTATTATATTGGGTAATTTTGGCTTGAACGGTTAGGCAGTGAAATTATAGGGTATAATAAAAATAACCAAAGATAATACCCACAGTGTTGGGGGCAATGGGATTCCTAGTAATGTAAATTATTGAACCCATTGCTAACAATGTACCATCTCAGGTTGACCTCCACGTGGTTCCCCTAGTAACCATCATGATAAATTCTTGGTGAATTTGGGACGATGGGTTAACTGACCTGATCTCACGCTCATCTTATCATCCTCCACTGGTGCCCCGCCAGCGCATACCGTTAGCGCAGGCGACTGTGCCAGTCCATTATCATCAGTAAAAAAAATGTTATCTTGAAGGTAAGTTTATAAAGTGCAAAACAACTAATACTTATATATTTTTTTGTTGTAAATATATACATAGAAAACATATATATAAACAATCACACTTATAAATACAAATACATTGCATCGTGCGAGGAATCGAACTCGCGACCATCAAAAGTAAAGCGGTGTGCTAAACCATTTGACAAGCGAAGGCGTCAAATAGTTCACTCCAAGAATAATCTATACCTATAAATAAAATTGGAGTGTCTGTTTGTAATATTGAAATTACCGTTTTTTATTACATACACTCCAATTTTATTTATACTTACATTACATACATTCATATGTATATAATAATAATAATAATAATATGATTTATTTATGTATATGTATAAATATGGTGCATACACCAAAATAACACTTTTTACAATTTTTGTCTGTTTGTCTGATTGTTCCGGCTAATCTCTGAATTGGCTAGACTGATTTTAGCGGGACTTTTTTTTGGCAGGTAACTGATCTAATAAGAAGTAATTTGACTACTATTTAAAAAAAAAAGTTTAATTCCACGCAGACCAACTCGCTAGTACATCTCATTATTAATAAATAAACATAATTTACTTAAAATACGTATGTACCTCTTCATATGTATATTTCCTTGCAGTTTCCAATCCTCCGTTGATTTTCTTGTAATTATCTTCGCTGTAGAAACCGTCATAGAAATATCTGTACCACGGCCGCAAGTCATCGAATTTGAACGTAAAGTAGGCCGGGAAAGGGTCTAGATCTACACTACGGGAAATGACGCCGGGGTGCGTTATATTGTATAGTTTTCCTGAAAATAATATTCAAACTGATGTTTATATTTAAACGCAGTAATTATGATAGAACTTTTATTTAATTAATAAAACAAGTAAGTAATATTTTACTAACTAACATCCGTACAAAATCAGAGAGAGAGCGAATTGAATGAATGAACGCTGCCAACATAATGGAACACAAGCTGACCAACTATACAATATATCAATGTGTAACATTGCCACATTTAACACCCCCTCTCAATGTTATACATTTAGTTACTATTATGTTATAAACTTTACATTTCTTATGTAACATTACAAAGTTTCAGAAACTTAACAATAGAGTCCCTACTTAAACATTTTGTCAATAAATCTGCTGGCTGATTACTTGTGCTTATATACTTAACATTAACTGTTTTATTTTTAATTAAATCTTTCACAAAGTGATAACGAATATCAACATGTTTCAAACGTTTCAAAGATTCAGAACTGGCATTCAAAATCGCTGACTGATTGTCACAATACAAACTTATTGGAAATACATTATTAAATCTAAAATCACTCAACAAATTAGCAAGCCAACATGCTTCACTAGCAGCTAAGCTCATAGAAACATATTCTGCCTCTGTTGATGACAGACTCACAGAAGATTGTTTCTTTGAACACCACATTATTAAACAATTTGAAAACATAAATAAAAAGCCTGAAGTGGACTTTCTATCTCTTTGGTCACCACCCCAATCAGCATCACAATAACCTTCCAGCTTATCACCATTACACTTATAAACTAATTTATAATCTAAAGTATTTTTAACATAACGCAATACTCTCTTTAGTGCTGTAAGTAATACATTATTTGCACATTTTTGATATCTACTCAACAATGAGACAGCAAAACATAAGTCAGGCCTAGTGCCTGAAACAGCATACATCAAACAGCCAATAATTTGTCTGCAAATACTTTCAATGTGGTTGTCACTTTTACCATTAATATCAAATATATTTGTATTTAAATTTTGATCCAATGGGGTCATCATTGGTTTACAACATTCCATATTAAATTTTCTCAGTACACTCTCTAAATAATTTTTCTGTGATAATACAGTAGTCCCGTTTTGTAAGTCTTGTTTTATGTTTATACCTAAGAACTCTGAAATTAAACCCAGGTCTTTCATCCTGAACTCTTTACACAATACACCTTTTAAATTATTGATTACTTGGTCATTTGTACCGAAAAACAACAAATCATCTACATAAATCAGAACAAACATTTTATCTTTACCATTACACTTAGAATACAAGCATGGATCATTCTTTGACCTTTCAAACCCTTCTTTAGTAATTACAGAATTGAATTTAATATTCCAATCTTTAGGTGACCTTTTTAGTCCATACAATGACTTGTTTAATTTTACAATATTATTATTTCCTGAATAGGCCCCTTTTGGTAAACTAATATAGACATCTTCTTTTATATCCCCATACAAAAATGCCCCTGTCACATCCATTTGATAAACAGGTAGATTTAATTTAGTTGCCACTACAATGAATAATCTAAAAGTTGTCAGTTTGGCAACTGGTGCATAAATCTCACTTAAATTAAATAAATCATTTTGTTCAAAACCCCTAGCCACCAACCTTGCTTTATACTGTTTGACATGATCTGTATTTGTTTTTATTTTAAAAACCCATTTAGTACTTACTGCTTTCTCATTTTTTGGTGTGTTACAAAAATCCCATGTGTTATTGTCTTTCAAAGTTTGTAACTCTTTCTCAATTGCCTTTCTCCACTCACTTGCATCACTTCTTTTCATAGCCTCACTATATGTCACTGGTTCACAATCATTTTCGATCACTTGCACACTATTACACTTATAGAATGATGTTTGTTTACGCACACGTACCGGTTTCTCTTCATATGTGGAAGTCATCTCTTCTGATACAGGTCCTTCATCACTACACGGTAAGTATTCAGTGTCACTGTTATAATCTGTTTCCTTCTCTACTAGAATGCTTTCAGTGCTTGTGGGTTCAGTGACCCCTGTGTCTGTTTCAAACATGTTTTCCAGACTAGATGACACTACAGACTCCTTAGCACCATATTCTTCCGACTGAAGTTTCTCTTTCTTATCATTCTGTTTTAAGAAAACAATGTCTCGTTTTATCTCCACAGAGTTCCTTCTAGAAAAGTAAATTCTATATCCTTTTACGTTCTCTTCATAACCAACAATAATACCTTTTTCTCCTCTCATATCCCATTTCCTCCTTCTTTCTTTTGGTATGTGAACATACACTTCAGTACCAAAAATCTTTAACTGGTTTAAATCAAATATTTTATTTGACCACACTTGAAATGGAGATCTTTCATTATCCTTACTCTTCCCAGTTCTATTCAGGACAAATACAGCTGTATTTATAGCTTCAGCCCACAATTTCTTTGCCAAGTTTTCTGAATGTAGCATAGTCCTGGCCGCTTCGACCAATGTTCGATTTTCTCTCTCGGCTTTCCCATTCTGTTCGGGGGTATAAGGGACAGTAGTTTGGTGCGTTATTCCCCGTTTAGAAAACATTTCCTTCATTTCTTTGTTCAGAAACTCTAGGCCATTGTCACTTCTAAAACATTTGACTTTGTTACCCGTCATATTTTCGGCCTTATTCAAATAATTTTCGATGTGCTGTTTGACTTCACTTTTTGTTTTCATGAAATATACACTCCGATAGTTTGAGTAGTCATCCTTCAGTAACAAAAAGTATCTTGAGCCTCCAACGGATGTCACCTCCATCGGGCCACACACATCTGCATGTATTAGTTCACACGTATTAGAAGTCGTATTGTTACTATTCGTAAAGGGTAATCTATGTATTTTTCCTGCCAAACAACTCTCACACTGAGGTATAGTATTCTGTTTGATATTAATGTTATTTTTCTCCAATATTTCTTTTACATACGCGAAGTTTTGATGAGCCAACCTTTTATGCCATTGAACTAATTCTGCAGTATTTGCAATCTCACATTTAAAACGTAATTCTAAGTAATATGAATTTCCAATTCGTTGTGCAACGGCACAAACTTCCTTATTTTTGAAGAATTTACACGAACATTCATCTGTCATCATAACGTATCCTTTGTCTGTGGCGCGATTGACCGAGAATAAGTTAGTTTTCAGTTCCGGAACGAATAATACGTTTTCTATTACCGTATCAATCCATTCGTTCCCATTCGACACTTGTACTGCCACCTGTCCGCAGCCAAGAACACTAATTGCCGCGCCATTACCGACGATTACAGATTTTTCCGATAAACTTGAGAATGATACAAACAATGAGCGATCATTACACATGTGTTCGCTGGCGCCAGAATCCACTAACCACTGTGATTTATGCGTTTCCTGTGATGAGTTTGACACTATAAATGCATTACTTTTTGATTTAATTTTGTCACTATTATCAGACTTACTTTTGTTTTCTTTTTGTTTTCTAAACCGACACTGCGCCTTAAAATGACCAAACTTTCCACAATAAAAACAGTTATTGTTATTTTGATTACTGGTCATGTTTGATTCACCATTATTTTTGTAGCTTCTGCACTCCGTTTGAAAATGCCCATTTTTGCCACATTTGAAACACTTCACAAGTCTTTTATTCTTTACAACAAAAGCAGATGATGATGCTGTTTGCTGTGATTCACTCTTTTCTTTGATTCTTTCTTCTTCGATCAATAACCTTGCCACCAAGTTATCAATAGTCTGTTTATCGTCCGGAGCCGACTCCCAAGCAGATACAAAATGCTTGTATTCATCTGGCAATGTCATCAGTATTTTAGTAATGACTAATTTATCAGAAACATTTTCTCCCAACTGTTTTAACGTGTTTTGCATTTCTTGAATTTTAGATAGAAAAATTGACATATCTGACCCCGTTTCATATTTATATTGAAAGAATCTCTGTTGTACTATATGAACACTAGTTGCTGTTTTCTGTTCATAAACACTTTGAAGTTTCCTCCACATTTCATAGGAGCTGGTACATGTAAGTACATGTAATATGGAATCCTCGGACAACCTCGTGACTATCAGAGTCTGTGCTTTAGCGTCCTTCACCTCCCAAGCTGTTAGTTCATCACCAGTTTTAGGCTTTATACTCCTTCCTTCTATTATGTCCAGCCAACCATAGCCACGCATCAGTACCATGGTTTGGAATTTCCACGTGTTCCAATTTCTAGCACCTTCCAACTTAACTACGGTGTTATTTATGATATTATTATCCATCCTTTCCGACCTTACTTGCGTGCGACGTACAAGTATACCTTCTCGACGATATTAGCCACGTGTGATAGCCGGATAACCTCACTTTTCTTCCCGTCGATTATTAACTTTTGTGTTCGCGTTGTTTACTACAATAACAAGCAGGGTTATGTGTCTGGGCCCATAACCTGATGTTTATATTTAAACGCAGTAATTATGATAGAACTTTTATTTAATTAATAAAACAAGTAAGTAATATTTTACTAACTAACATCCGTACAAAATCAGAGAGAGAACGAATTGAATGAATGAACGCTGCCAACATAATGGAACACAAGCTGACCAACTATACAATATATCAATGTGTAACATTGCCACATTTAACACAAACACGTATAAAACACTTTCATTGTAAAGAAAGCGACGCCAGGGTGCGTTATATTGTATAGTTTTCCTGCAAATAAGAAATTTTGAGTTACCTAAACTTTTTAAAACGAGATACTACGGACGCACCGCTACCCTCTAACTGTTTTGTGGGGGGATGAGGGAAGGATTCAAACGGGGATCGAAATTACGACGGCCTGAGACTCAAATTAAAGTCATATTCATTAGACGGAAGTTACAAAGAAGGTTCAACCGCTCAATAATACTATATAGTATGGTCGAATGCCGCCGAAGGTTCTTATTAGTCCCAATGACCCCATAACGGCAGCTAACGTCCCTACAGTCCACCCGTTCAGTTCCCACTACATATATATAGAGACACACGACACCGTCCTCGTCTGTGAAGACAATGACTTTAACCACACCAACAAACAGGCGTTCCACACCGGCGCGACCGGTAGACCCCCGATTGTTCCCCCATCGAATTCAATTCATCAATAAAGTTGTATCCATCAGGCGGGAGTTGGCCTTCAACCACTCTATAAGTCCTTCCTTTGGTTTGGAGTGCCATCTGCACTCGCCTCCTATCGTCCGGTGAAGCTGTAAAGGACTGCTGCAGTCAACAGCATTAGAACAGTTCTAAATATAAACTGATTTTGGTTTTTGTGAGCATTGAATATTGTAATTCATTTTATATATTCATATTTATATTTGTACATCCTAGAGCTTATTTAATATGTATATATTTTTAATGTATATGTATATATATATAGTAAAAATCCGCATCTTAGTTTTTTTTTCTTTTAATGAGCAATGGGGGCTGCCTGAAAACCAGCGCTGTATACATAGGTGCACCTCATTGAGCTTGTGCTTATATCAGCAACAGCCGAGACAGCTCCTATTGCCAACTTTCTATGTATATATTTCTTTCTATATATATATATATATATATATATATATATATATATATATATATATATATTTCTTATTTTGTGTCTTATCGTAAATTGTTTTATTTGTGTTATGTTGGCAATAAATCAATTATCTATCTATCTAAAGTAGGTCAAAACCTACAGATTTTGATACAAACGGACAAATCCGAGGACACCGCTAGTTTACAATTACAGCAAAAATTATACTTACCAATCATAACTGCCATAGAATGTCCAACGAACGTGAAGTTGTTCCATTTAAAATGATCCTTAATCTGCAGGACCGTAGGTATAAAATCTAATATACCGTATTGGACGCCTTTGGGCAGGTGATCGGAGAGACCGTTCCCTGGCAAGTCAACGGACACGTAGAACAAAGAATCTGGCAGCAAATTGGCCAGGGGACGGAATGAGGTGCACGCGTCCATTCTGCCGTGACAGAGTAATACTGGGGGATTGGACGGGTTGCCCCAGGATAAGGCTGAAAATAAATATTGCAACCTCAATAATATAAACGCAATTTGTGAGCATCGATGAATAAATCTGTTAACAATCGTGTAAGGCACCATTAACAACCTCAGCGCCATGTGTATCTTGTCACACAGTGTCCGGAACACTGTCCCCTCCGATCGATTCCCGTCCAATTCAAACGGGGATCGAAATTACGACGGCCTGAGCCGAGGTTCGAACCCCTAGTGGTGCCCTCAGACTAAAGTCGTATCCGTCGGGCAGGAGTTGGCCTTCAGCCGCTCCATAAGTCCTTCCGCGGGTTTGGAGTGCCATCTGCACTCGCCCCATAACGTCCGGTGAAGCTGTAAAGGCCAGCTACGGCCAACAGCATTATAGTCCGAAAAAAAAAATTTCTATACATTTTTTACACAAAATGAAAGCCCATAAAAATCCAAGAAAAAGGAGCGAAACGAGGGCGAATAACAATATGTAGTTTTAAACACTTCTGAACAAAAAAACTATATAGTTTTTTTTTTAAGAACCGTCACTTAGGGTCTGGCGCTGAGGGTGTTAAATAAAAATGGTAAATCAATAATCATTTTTCTTTATCTAAGGCATTCAGTAACATGAAATGAAACGGCAGAGATCAGAGTCTAAATAATCTTTGTGACATTGACAAGTAGATTGATGGATGGACGGAACTGACGTACCGGGAGTTTGGAACGAAAAGATTGGAGTGTTTATTATAATGAAACAAATAAGGGATATGAAATTGTGAATATTGTAGGTATTGAGAAGTTTTTTTTTTTTATGGATGATAATGGAATGGTGCACCCGCCTGCGCCAACGGTTTACGCTGGCTGGCTACCATAGCCCATCGTGACAAATTCACCAGGAATTTATCACGATGGTTTCCAGGGGGTACCGCGTGGAGGTCAACCTGACATAGTACATTGCTAGTAATGGGGTCATGAGTCCACATTACTAACAATCCCCTTCGCAAGGCATTGGGGAATTTATTAGTTGAGACTGGGTTTTTATATATGTAGATGATAATGGAATGTTACACCCGCCAAATTCCCGGTGAATCTGTCACGATGGGCTAACTGACCTGACCTCATGGTGCCCACTGGTGCCCCGCCAGCGTAAACCGTTAGCGCAGGCGGGTGCACTATTCCATTATCACTCATTAAAAAAAACTATAGTTGTATTTAGTATTGGCTGTACCTTACTTACATCCGCGTGGAATTTAACTCTATTTTTCTAAAATAAAAGTAGCCTAAGCCTATTATATCAGCTACATGCCAAAAAAGTCCCGTCAAAATCAGTCCAGCCATTTCAGAGATTAGCCGGAACAAACAGATAGACAGACAAAAATGGTAAAAAATGTTAATTTGGTGTATGTACCGTATTTATATTCATATGCATGTAGTAAAAAGCGGTTATTTCAATATTACAAACAGACACTCCAATTTTATTTATATATATGTATGTATAGATTACAGCCTTCTGTAGTTGGCAATATTATTCTTACTTTTAATTTGAAAATAATCTTTCGCTTTTTCAATGTTATAATAGTAATATTATTTATAGTCGTAGACATGTAGATATAAGTTGGACTTTAACCTTAGACTAAGCATACGTAAGTGTTTACTAATAGAATAAATATCACCACTACCTCGTAGTCTAGTGGTTTATCACTGCCTTACTTCCAATGGTCGCGGGTTCGATTTCTCGCACGTTACAAACTATTATTCATGAGTATGATTGTTTGTTTTGCTGAGCATTTAAAAAAAGTACCTATGTATTTTTTATTTGTGGATGATAATGGAATGGTGCACCCGCCTGCGCTAACGGTTTACGCTGGCGGGGCACCAGTGGAGGATGATAAGATGAGCATGAGGTCAGGTCAGTTAGCCCATCGTGACAGATTCACCAGGAATTTAACACGATGGTTTCCAGGGGGAACCGCGTGGAGGTCGACCTGACATGGTACATTGCTAGCAATGGGGTTATCAATCCACATTACTAACAATCCCCTTCCCCCGGTATCTATAGTATGTATTTATCTGTTCTAGTTGTAATTAGTACTTAGCACAAGTTCTGCTTAGCTTGGGACTAGATGGCGCTGTGAGTTTTCGCCAGGGCTATTATTATTATACATATATATTATTTCAAATAAACATCTTATTAATATTATAAACGCGAAAGTTTGTAAGTATGGATGTTTGTTACTCTTTCACGTAAAAGCTACAGAACGGACTTTAAAGAAACTTCACAATAATATAGCTTATGCATCAGAATAACACATAGGCTATAATTTAAAACGATACTGTGTAAATTGGACATATAACTGTTTGTTCCATCTAATCTCTGAAAGGGCTGGACCGATTTTGACAGAACTTTTTTGGCAGGTAGCTGATGTAACAAGGAGTAACTTAGGCAACTTTTATTTCAGAAAATTAAAGTTTTACTCCACGCGGACGATGTCGCGGGAACAGCTAGTTAATAATATATTCTTATATAGAAAGCTTTTAGGCCCATAACACGAGCTGTGCTTAACTTGACACACAAGTTTCTTGCTCGTTCTTCTTGTGAAGCTTTCCAAACGAGCGGTAGATAAAAGAATGTTATAAATATTCAAAAGTACTTAAATGCAGTTTATTTGAATAAATGATTTTCTATTCTATTCTATTCTTGAGAATAGAATAGAATAGAAAATCATTTATTCAAAAGTGCTTCAATGTAAGTTCCTTCCGAATGAGCGGTAGTTTTTTTAATCTACCGCTCATTCGGAAAGCTGTCTCATCACAAGAAGAACGAGCAAAAACTTGCGTGTTGCTCTTTTTTTTAGTATTACTTTACATTTTTAAGTATAAGTGTGTGAATAGTGAGACTAGATGGCGCTGTGTGAATTATTTTGGGATATTATTATAATTGTATACATAGTTCCAGCTGTAGTGACATATACACTAATGATGTAATAAGGAAATTATATATTCATCCTGTTAATATTGTAAATGCAGATTTTAAGTATTGTTTATTCCTCTTTCATACCAAATTGTGCAATACCACTTATTTAGTCTACGTTCTATTTTATTATATTCTATATTCCCGCGACTTCGTCCGCGTGGAACTTAACTTTATTTTTCTAAAGTAAAAGTAGCCTAAGTTACTCCTTATGACATCAGCTACTTGCCAAAAAAAGTCCCGTCAAAATCGCTATAGCCATTTCAGGAATTAGCCAGAACAAACAGACAGACAGACAGACAAAAATTGTAATAAATGTTATTTTGGTGTATGTACCGTATTCATATGCATGTAGTAAAAAGCGGTTATTACAATATTACAAACAGATGCTCCAATTTTATTTATATATATATAATTCTATTCTAAATTGTCACTACTTTGTATGGTTCCTTCCGGTTTCCTTCCTGGCCCTAGTTAATAGTATTTCCTACTATCATATATAGCTATTTTCTAATATATAAAATTCACATACAAAATTTCATCAAAATCGGTCAAGTCGTTTCGGAGGATTATAAACACGAAACCTTGTGACACGAGAATTTTATATACATACATATAAAAATATAATACTGGATAAAGGGCCGTTCCAGTATTACGTAAGCACTATTGGGGGGCTGGGGAGGGGGGGGGGGGGGGGGGTCTTTGAATATACAAGGATGTCCACTTCGAGCAGTGCAGTAAGTAAATCATTTTGTTTTATTTTATACCAGCTTTATACCGGCTTTGTTGTGTATATGTATGTTGATTTTATTAGCCTCTATTATTATCTGTTAGGGGCCGTTCAATTGTTACGTAAGCACTATTTAATAATAATAATAATAATCTTTATTTGTCTCAAACAAAAACTTTTCACACAATACAACTGTTGCCCATACAATAATATAATTTAAAACTAATGAATGAGACAAAACGGTCTATAACTCAGTGAGGGCAGTGAGTCCACCCTCTCTGCTATTCTGTTATAGCCTATATCAGCAGAATAATACAATATGAGATCGACGACGACGATAGCATATTAAGTTAAATGCTATTCTGTTATAGCCTTTATCAGTAAAATACAATGTGAGATCAACGACGACGATAGCATATTAAGTTAAGTTTTAAACTACGACTAACAAAGTAATCATAAAAATTGACAATAACAAGATTACAAACTAATCAGATTGGACAATATCAAACTTATGTAAATATATATAACCTAAACATTATTCAGGATTAGAAATTCCTTGCTATGTTTATTTGGGATGACATGGCGGCTAGGGAGTGCTAATGATTACGTCATCGGCACTTTTTACACAAATGGCAACCCTCACATTATCTTTGCTAAAAAACAATACATTAATTGAAAAGTTTACGTAAGCATGGGGGTATAAGAGCTCTGCTTGCTTTTACTGACAAGGGGAATGGGAGGGGTAATGGTAATTCCAATTATAAAATCTTATAGTTTTGGGGGTGTCCGGCGGGGGTTGTAACCATACTAAGTGTCTGGCAATGAGCAGCGCAAGTTATAATACTGTTACGAACAATATATAAAAAAATTGAGTTTCATAAGTTAATGAATTTGATATGAAATTTTTTACACCTTTCTTACCTGTTACATGCCAAAGGAACCACGAACTAGGTTTCATGTTTGGGGATCGTTCTTGGGAGGGGTAAATAATGGTAATAAGAGGCATGACATCGCAGTCCTCACGAATGACGACGCATGAGTGGTATCACAGGCGTTAGATTATAACGTAGTTGCTGTTTATGTATATAGGCGACAGTTACCACTTACCACCATCTCATACACGTAAATGAATATTAAACCCTCAATATAAAACTGCAGCATTTCGTGGAAGTTTTTTTTTAATTTTTTTTTTATGGTTATTTTTGTAAAGGAAGGGGACGCCCTAAGAAAAGATGGATAGATTGTGTGAAAGATGATATGAATAAAAGAAGAGTATGTTTAGATATGACGACCGATAGAGAGCAGTGGAAGAGAATGACATACTGCGCCGACCACAAATAATGGGATAAAGGCAAGGCAATGATGATGATTTTTTTTTTTACTTATTTTAATATACTGCCACGAAATGCTGGAACAATTTACCACCCCGATTCAAAATACTATTTAGTCAGTTTCGTCTTTTAAACGTGGCAGATAAATGCAGTATTTATATATACACATATATTGAATAAATAAATAAATATGTTACTTATATTATATTCAAACTATATTATATTACACAAGAGTCTTTCGAAACACTTTTACGAAATTTTATCCTTATATATTTTTTTTTCAATTTATCACACATACATTTATAATTCATCCATTTAACTCATTCTTCATTTTAGATAATTAAATTGATCACGAATGCTATTTCATTCTTTTTTTTCGAGTGGCTCCACTGAAAATCAGCGCTGTAGTGATACACTGCGGCACCAGCTGAGTGGAGGCCTTTTCAGCTCATAGCGAAATATTAGTTTTTAAGATTTCTTTTTTACTCTGTACTAAGATGCTGAATAAATGATTATTATTATTATTAATGTTGTTGTTTATATATATATATTATATCTCCCCTTGATGGGGTGTTAAACTTGTCATTGCGGGTGAATATCACCAAACAATGACAATTATAAAAGAAATTATTATTATGACAAAAATTTGCGGACTATTCTACAGGTGTTTAGAATTACAGCTTTTTGGAGAAGTATGAAAGTAAGTGGGTGAAGCTGTAATATGTTGAGGCTAGAGTGTAAGGATGTTGGGATGACACCTGTGGATGAGGTAATAATTGGGAGAGTTTTTACTGTTTCTACCTGCCATTGCCATTATTATTATTATTAAATGGGTGCTGATTGTAGGGATCTATTCGGGTTACCGCCACTGATTAGACCTTTTGTCGAAATTGCAATAGCAACTCTATAGTCCCTCTACTCTCCCTAATTAGAATTTAAAAATGAATCTGAATTGAATGTTTTTGTAATCATATACAAGCTCATTTGAAAAGAATACGAGCTGAGTTTCTTGTCAGGTCTTTTCATCGAGAAATCACTCCAAACTGACGGTAAATTTCACATATCTTAAGAGTCTGTAATAGACCTACACGGATAAAGATATTTTGATTTTTTTTAGGGCCATACCTTGTTTACGATATCAGGTATATAAAAAAATGTTGTAATAATAAAAAATACGTACCTCTTATGTTGCCCCATGGTGCTTTTATAGTTACTTCTCTTTCCGTTTCTTGTATAAATGTTTTTAATGCGCTAAAAATATAATAGTAACATTTAATATAGTAACTGTACCTACATATTGTACCTACTGTACTTTTTTCTATAGGTATTTTACCCAAAATCCTTAAAAATACTGTCAGCTGCTTGGATCTGTTGCACTGGGACCTACATAGATCTATTGTGCTCGCCCTTTTTCAAACTCCGCTAACTAGACCCGTCAAGGACAAAAAATTATAAAAATATTCTTAGGAGCGATGGTTTTTATCTCCTCAGAGTATACCTTCATAGGCTACGGTAACCATTTACCATCAGATGGGCCGTATGCTAGATTGCTACCATCATAGTATAAAAAAAAAGCATATGCTTTCCAAAGGAAATATTTCGTTTATGCATGAGTGGGCTACAACCACAGAGGATGTGTAGTGGCGTTTCCTGTTTTGCTTGGGAAATTCTGCAGATTGTTGTTAAACTAAGGGTATCTTCCTTAATAACAATGAACTATACTAATAAAATGTTTTTAATTATTTTTTTATTTACATATTATTATATATACAAAACAATTGTAGATATATACATCAAATTACTATTTTTACATTTAAATAATATAACAATATATTAACTATGTAATTCACTCTTGTCCTCTTAAACCTCTATGCAATATTATTACTTTTTTATTTTATGTCAGTATTTTGGCGCCAAAGTTATTTCACCTTTTAAAATGGACTACAGGCAACGGAACAAAACCAAACAGTTATAATATTGAGTCAATATTCAAAGTGGGATATTTAACACTAAGTGTGGTGCAGTCCCGGATCTAGGGCATGGCGGGGCACGTTCCTAGGGCAATAAATTCAAACTTGGCTTAACAACTTGATCGGACAGAGACGGCAAGTAAATCATTTTTCGCAGAGCGAAACTTTTTCGTGACTTTTTTAAAACTATCATAAAGCAATTCACGGGGCCCAGGCCCCGGGTGGCACTTTCTTGAGGCAAACAAACAAATTCGAACTTGGCTGATGGATTGTTGACAACTTGACCATAGAGACGTCAGGTAAATTATTTTTCTCAAAAGCGCATACAAATCAAATCATTTATTCGCAGAATATAGTGCTTATAGGTGTATACAATATTAAATATAATGTCCAGTGTATTCAGCCTGCATACAGGCGTGCAAATTTTTATATATTATTATATTTACGTCATTCTTATTAGTCAATAATTAAATTAAAATAAACATGTCATTGGCATTATTGGCATACATAATTACTATAGATGATGCATTAAATTACTAACTTCAATATATTCTCTGACACTATAAAAATGTGCCAATAGCCATTTGGTTAAATTTAATTTAAAAGCTCGCTCGTTCAACAACTTTATATGCCCCTCCGATCGATCCCCCGTCCAATTCAAACGGGGATCGAAATTACGACGGCCTGAGCCGAGGTTCGAACCCCTAGTGGTGCCCTCAGACTAAAGTCGTATCCGTCAGGCGGGAGTTGGCCTTCAGCCGCTCCATAAGTCCTTCCGCGGGTTTGGAGTGCCATCTGCACTCGCCCTCTAACGTCCGGTGAAGCTGTAAAGGCCAGCTGCGGCCAACAGCATTAGAGTAGTCCGAAAAAAAAAACTTTATATTGTCAGGCAAATGATAAAGAGACAGACCTGTTTAATATATTTCTCCTGTAAATATCTTTATGGCACACTATTTACAAACTATCGTAATTCATAATGCAGTTGGCTATAGCGAACCTTGTAACAGGTAGCTAAACTTGTAAAATGTTACCTAGAGTGGGGTAGGAGGGGGGGGGATAGGAACAGGGTACAGGAAGATCCGTGCGGTGCGGTGATCTAATTGAGACCGGGTTTTACATACGGAAAATCATCTTCACCATAAGGAAAGGTTACAGTTACCTATAGAGAATCTGCTTTAGTCATAAGTATTATTATTATGACGAATTAAACGATTGTTTTATAACATACTAGCTACCCGCCCGGCTTCGTACGAGCGTACATATCGTCGAATAAATAGAAAATTTACATTTTTCAAAATTAGATCCTAGAATTGCCTCCTGTTATATAAGTCAATGAAATTAACCGCGCCGTCTTAATCATTATCTAAATACTTTTAAAATGACATATAATACTTCTGTGCAAATTTAAAATGAAAAGAATATATAAATTTAATAACTTTAAATATTTTTTAATGCTTGTTTTTCAAAACTTGCAAGAACCTGCAAGAAACGCATACAACATGTTTCTTGCTCGTTCTTCTTGTGACGTGTCAGTTTCCGAATGACTAGTAGATTAAAAAAATGTATGACAATTTGAAATTGCTTAAATTTAAGTTTATTAGAATAAAGATTTTTCTATTCTTATATTACAAGAAAAACGACTTACTTAACGCGGTCAGATATACTTATTTGACTGCGTTTGACCGAGGTCAGATTAATTAAAAGTAATAAAAAAGTCTGCGTTCCGAATTAGTGCTAGAATAAAAAACGATATGACTACTCAAAAATGCTTATATTAAGTTTATATGAATAAAGAATATCATTAATATATTGTTACGTTAATAAAAAACAAAATTAATAAAATTAAAATGTCTGTATGTATTTTAAATTAACAGCTTTTTAATAAATTATACATTTATTAAAAAGCTAAAATTAAAAAGTATATAATACATAAATGTAAATAATAGCTAAAAATGTAAAATGTAAATGTATATATTACCACAGATAACATAATATTACATACATCCAAGATATAATTTAAAAAAATTACAGTCTGTCTATTTTGAAATAAAGCTATTATAAGGAGTATAAATTAGGCTTCATTTAAAAATTTTAATAACAAAAAATACGTATGTGTTCAAAGTCTAGAATAAGAGCTAGTTAATAGTAAAAAACATTAATTAACTGTGATACTAAATATTATTAAAAAACATGTCAAAATAAACTGGTACTGACTCCATCTTTGAAATTATTTAATATTCAAATTTTCATATAATATAATGTAAAGGACATTGTCATGTCAAATCCATTTGATTATGTAATATTATCATATCTGTTATTTAATTTAAGTAACAGTTTTACGTTCAACAGTAATAAAATAATATAATTTTCTATTTAATAATATATAATGTAAAAGTAGCCGAAGTTAATCCTTATTACATTAGCTACCTGCCAATAAAAGTCCCGTCAAAATCGGTCCAGCCATTTCAGAGATTAGCCGGAACAAGACGAAATTGTAAAAAAAAATATTTTGGTGTATGTACCGTATTTACATTCATATGCATGTAGTAAAAAACGGTTATTTCAATATTACAAACAGACACTCAAATTTTATTTATATGTATGGATAAATACTAATTTATCTGTAAATCTTCCTTAATTATGTAAAGAAAGTAGTAGTACTTTAAAATGTATTTACACAAAATCACTGTTATCTGTGCAATATATCATATTATTAAGAAGGTAGAACAAATTATTTAATCTGTGCAAAAAATCATCTAAATAATTTGCAAATATGTCAGACTACCGTCAGACATTATCTACATAATTAAAAATATATATTATTCCAAAAACGCAATCCTTAGTAATGCATAATTTAAAAAAAAATTAAATACACACCTTTTAGCAAAAAACACTGTGGATATTTTCATTTTCACAGTTTTTTTAATTTTTCACAGATTAATTACCAAAATCGATGTTGCCGCTAAAAATTAAAAAAAATACTGATATGTTCCCGCCAATGTGTATTTTATAACATTGATGTTTGCTAAATCACTTTACACGTGCTATGTAATGACTAAAGCTGTGTTAGACTGGATTTGTACTGAATTCACGTGTAGACACAGTTATGATCGGGAAATAACCTTCAAAAATTGCAATAAATTGTTATAAAATATTAAGTAGGTACGTACTTGTATAGTTCATGGGCGAACTACAACGGAAGAGCGCTTTGAAAGTAGTGAACTAAAGCGCGGATTATTCGCTCTTTCCTTCCTTAGTTAATTACTTTTTAGACCACATGTTATATTTATATGTATTTGTTAAATACCCTGCGAAGCCAGGACGGGCTAATGTACATATAAAAATCTACAATAATTCGTGGTGGCCAAATGGTCGAAATACGAACATAATTAATTTACATTATAAATTTGACCATTATCGAGATTCTATTGTCAAAGACGTATGTGTCTCAATACATCGTAGTATATGTAATGTTTTTTTTTATTATTTTAATAACTATTTTTATAGATAAGTAAAAAAATACCATTCTTCTCTCCTTCTCCATATAAACTTATTTTTTATAGACTACTGTGGTGGCAAACTGTAGGCGATATTCGTTACCCTGTTTTGTATATAGGCGACTGTACCACATACCAACATGTGATCCGCCAGCTTGTTTGCGGTTCAAAGGTTAAAAAAACAAGATCAAAGGTACCTACTAGATTTACAATAAAAATAAACAAGAACACTTAAAGGCATACAATTTAGAAACCCTTTTGCGGAGTAAACTCGAAAGCGAACCAGTTAAACTACAATAGTTCGCAGCGAGTCGACACGGGAGCGAATTACTAAAATTTTTCGCAAAAAAAGAGCGGCGAACTAATTTAAGCATTTGAAAAAACTAGTACTTAACCACTTAATCATATCACAAAAATGGCTATAAATAAATGATTTAATTATAAATCCATAGTTGTATTTATAGATACAGATTACATATATCTTTCTTTTTGGATTTTGAACCAAAAAGATTATACGACATATTTATGGTATGATTTTTTTTATCCGTAGATTTTATTATTTATTAGTTTTCAGAAATTATTAATCTACTGGACTATCGATTTCAAATCTGTATAAATGACAATAACAAATAGTTTTTTTAATTATGTTGCAAGAGCAATAGTAGAGTATTTTTTCTTCAGAATGCAATCACCTTTTTGAATTAATTGAATACGATATTGAAACCTTCAAGAATTGAGCTTATTCCTTCCTAAATGGCCGGCAACGCACTTGCGGTGGTGTTGT